TATCGGGTTCTGTTTGAAAAGAGAAGGCCTAGAATGATGGAAATCGGTCAACTTTCAATTTATGAAGGTTCAACCATTGCTTGCCTCTAATATTTACCATAAAGTACAACTTCTTCGCAAAGTTGTAACATTCGCAAGTTAACATCCATATTTTCTGTTTAACGTCCAACTCCAGTTTATTTTTCCTAATAATGATATTGAATATCTTAGACGAAGAATTGGCTAATGTGTTTGAGTCATCAGTTGTTGAACATTCTTTTTACAGGGCGTCCCAAAGTTAACGCAAGATTTAAATTAAAAACAACACACAGTTCTTTCTTCTTTTGTTTCCTTTTTCTTTGTCAATTTAACAGCTGATAGTTTAGTGTTGATAAACATGGAGCGTTATACGAGCGAACAATGTGTTTTCATTGTTGAAAAATATTTTTAAAATAATAAAAGTCTTGCAGCAGTTCGAAAATTTTGTACAAAATGTGATCGGAATAGTGATTGAACTTTATCAACTGTGAAGAGAATGGTTGATCAATCGGTGATGTTAAAAAACACCGGTCGTCCAAAAACAAGCAGCAAAGTGTCAATATCGAAGCAAGGCAAGTGGCCGCAAGACTTTCATTATTTTTAAATATTGGTCAACATCACTGAGTGTTTATCGTCACGAACTGATCCAGTCTGCTTTACTTTCTCCACTTCACTCTTCACAGTTGCTGAAGTTAAATCACTATTACGACCTTATTTTGTATGAAATTTTCGAACTGGGGCCGCAAGACTTTCATTATTTTAAAAATATTTTTCAACAATGAAAACATGTTCGCTCGTATAATGCTCCATTTTTATTAGCCCTAAACTATCGGCTGTTAAATTGACAAAGAAAAAAGAAAGAAAGAACTATGTTTTGTATTTAATTTAAATCTTGCGTTAATTTTGGGACACCCTATACAATCAGTCAGGAACAAATCCGATTCAGGTACATTAAGAAAAAGTAGAGGTAACATTATATTTGTTGTATTAATTATGTGTTGCCTTTAAACACCATTTTTTTTTTTTTTTTGCTTTTCTTAAGAAAAGGCTTTATCTGGATTTCAGTGGTCAATTTAATATTTGACAGGAATCCGAAATAATTATTCCCGGAACCCTTGGTTTTTTCCTACTGCCCTGGTCCTTGATGTACAAGGAATAGAGTAAGTTATTAATAGAAGCAAAAGTAATACTTGGTCTGAAAGGTATTAAATAAATATATTATTGATTTGTAATTTGTTTCTATTGAAATTATGTACTTTATTTAAAAAAAAAAAATATTAAGTGACAGATTGATGGTAGGCAGAAAATGAAAAAATTTCTCTTCCAAAATAAAAATTATATATATATATATATATATATATATATATATATATATATGGCTGTATACTTTTCTGTACCAATACTCTTGAATAACTTAACATTCATTAGTTATGGAAAAATCAGAACATTGATTCGCCTTGTAGACGCGACTATTGTTGATGCATGCATGAAATTAATTTATTACCTTGTTTATGCCTACGACAATCGATTTTAAATAGCTCAGTTTATTAAATAGTTTGATAATCGATTTATTCCCAAATTCTGTGGTAACACAGGTAGTTCCCCTCCAACATATACTTCTAGTAAAGCAGTATTGCATTCCTTAAAAATATTTGTCTATACCTATTACGAATACAATACCCGTGGCAGAATATTACATTCCGCCTTATTCAGATTTGTTCCATCACAAGTGTGTAAAAATATAAATTGAATATTGTTACATAGACGTAAAAAGTCTTTGATCTGCTGAAGCCTGTTATACTAGCGCATGCCAAATCTGAGCATTATTACCTGACAGCTGCTTTTATCATTCCTGAACATTCGCGCTTCCTCGATATATTGGCCTGTCAACCAGCCCTTACACATGGTATTCAATGATAAAATAAAGCTTGTGTTTTATTTAAAGTTCCTATTATATCTAATTCCTTTTGTTTTTGGGATCAATCTGCCTATTAAATCCAAATTAAAAAAAAAATACAAAGATAAATGGTTCATTCACTGTAGTAAATATACCTACTATTTGTTCAAGATTTAATAATGAATTGAGTTTCGTTAATTCGTTTTTTGTTCCATTAATTTGAAGAATTTTAAGGTTTACCTTATGATGTGATGAGGACGCAAGAGGCCAGAAAGAACTGCAGACCCGAGGTATCAGTTCTTAGTCATCGATTTACTGAAGGAAAATTAATGTTTTATTGCTGAAACAGGTTTGCCATTAACAGCTACAGCTATATGGCTAACCCTATATTGGGATTATATGGTCTGTGATTATAGGCCGATGCTAATAAATTATAGTTGTTTCATCAAAGAGAATAGGCTACGGATTGAAGTAAGGTTTTGGTGATTTTTGCAATCTTTGACAAAATTTTAGTGCCTTACTTTAAGTATTATGTTCCAACTAATCTTGCTATCTTGCTGCTGTTACGTGCTATATACTCATTCATCCCATGGGCGTACGCTGGAAGAGGCAAAGGGGGGAGAGGGGTTATCCCCCTCCTCGCTAAATAATTTGAAAGAAAATAAAACAATATAATTCAAAAGGATGCCGAAAATCTTAGGAAAATAATTTTTAATAATTGTTGTTGTGTGAGATTTCCTTTAATCAGTCTTATTCCTTCTCCCAACATGAAAGCAGCATATGCCCTTGATTCATCCTCTGTTGCTTCTTTACGAAGTCGCTATTTTTCATTAACTTTTCGGTTAAATGCGTTTCTGGAAATTATTTCCATTTTTAAATCATTTAAATCAGACAGAGTTCCTGCTGAAATCAAGGTTTTGCAAAACCTACCGTTTAAGCTGCTTACTGCTCTGATCATTTATCATTCATACTCATTGTCCTCGTTATCATCAATGTTATAGATTTAGTAAACTATAATTGTATTAAAAAACATAAGAATGCGAAAAAATATTCTTTTAAGATTTAAATGCTCAATGGAAGCTGGTTTCAACTTTAATTTTTGGACTATTCTTCGTTTCCAATTGTTTGATGGTTTTGTTTTACAAATGTCTATACACTTTCCACGGATTCGTATGATTAGAGGGTAAAAGACATCACGTACTAACAACTTACTTGCACGTATCAACTGTAGTTGGCCATGGTCATACCATTTCCTTGCGCCTATAGGGCTGTTTCATTTTTATTTATCAGCGTTCATTAAAATATTTTTAATAATAATATTTTAGTTATTTAAAATATTTTAAGTAAATTTTATGGTGTAATAATATTCCGTGTAATAGTATTAAGTTTTAATTTTTTTGTAATTTCCGAAAGGAAAACAATATACTGTGTTCTTTTGCAAGTATGATCTTCCAATAATTAATGAAGTATCTCTCAGATGAAGGTTAGATTCGTTCTTTAAGGTTAAGATTTGTACAAAAACTGCTACTGAAAGTTGAAATATTTCAAAGAATATGAGTCCAATTTTCTCATAAAGAAATGAGAAATTTATTTTAGAAATAATATCCAATAAAAGGAATAGAAGATAGCTTTTGATTGAAATACTCATGGACGTAGACCTTAGTCCACTTCCATGTTCAGATTCTTTTTCATAAATGATATTTTTTCCATGACACTTGTTCGTTGGTTGTTTCCATTGTGACTTAATATCTTCAATGGTGTATTCTATTTTTGAATCGTTCCCTATTTCTTTTGTGGTTTGAGATTTAATATCCGCTTCACTTCAGACAAGTCCTATTTATGTCAGTAGTCAACCTTTCTTCTTTTTTTTTCTCATGGTAGACAGCATCATTAAGAATTGAACCTTATTTGTTCCGTTCATTTTGTTTATTATTCAAAAGTATTTTCATGATAACACAAATTGATAAAAAAAAAAAAAAATCTATTAAATAATATTTAATAGATTCTTATTATATTATAACAGCTCACTTTCGAGCCCTTAATTCATTATTTCTAAAGACAATTTGTACAGCATATAACTAATACATATATATTTTTCAATATTGTTAATTTATTTAAGTGGCTTTGGCAATTAATATGAAAAGGTCATCGAAGATAATCTTAACGTATTTTTAATAATTCTTGTGAACATGTCCCGAGACATTATTCAGATCGGCGATCAGTACTGGTCTGGTTATATATAGTTAACTTATGACTATGACATTCATAGTTGACTAATTTGATAATTACTAGCAGGGATGCCCAGAAGAAAGGGGTTTTATGGCGCAAGTTTGCGTCATCAAAATGTTTGAGGGGGTCACATTTTAAAGGGTTTTTGAATTTTTGAGGGGGGCACATTTCAACTTGATTATGAATTTTAGGAATGAAAAGTTTCAGAATAAGGGACAAGAGGAAATCATAGAACAAACCGCAGCAAGTGTAGTTGTGTATGATCTATGGTTTTTCTAATTCTACTTTCTCTTGCTCTGCTTTTAAGAAAAGTGAGCAATAAAATATTTTGGAAAGAGGGGGGTATGTTCTTGCGCTCTTGACCTTGGGGGAAGGGGGAGGGGAGGATAGGCACACCTGATTACTGGTTTCTATTATTTTGCTGTAGAATTAATCATTATCAAGATACAAGAAAAAAAGTGTTTGGTCATTTTATTTATTTATTTTTCTGAGAAATTCAGGCTATTTAGGGTAGGATATGTCAAATTGTATACAATCTGTTGAACCATTGAGAAAAACAACCTCATTCAAGATTTTTTTCCTGCAAATCCCTTTTTGACTGGTCTATATTTGTGTGTGAAGAAGAAATACCCCCAGTAAATAAATAATAACAATGGATTGGGGAATCGGACGTCGGCACCCTCAGTCGCTGCTTAGGCATTCGTCCACCAACCACCATTGAAATCCAAATTCCTAATTCTAAAGACACAATCCTAATTCTACATTTCGGATGTTTAAAATAAATAAAAATTAATATACATGATTACTTTTATATTTTGGTAGATATTATTTATATATATTATTTTACCTGTTGCAGATGGCTATAATGAGGGGTGAACGAAGGAGGGTTGAGTTGTCAACACTATGAGATGCAACCTTTGGACACTAGTTCCGATAGTCACCGCCCTTCTGCTCGGAACGCCACCGTCTAGCCCCGCCGCCGGCACCTCCTCAGCTCTGTCCAAGACCAACAAATGTTAGTGAATACTTATATCTCTTTGTATTTGTGCAATTATTGGTTATGTATTTTTAAAAATGATTGCTTCCTTTTCATATTAAAATTTCAGTCACATTTTGGCCTTTTTTTTAAAAAAATAGCTTTGCGACTTCTTAGCAATTTTTTTGGTTGCTCTCGGATGCTTCAAATTTGCCGCGGAAAATGTGAAAAAATCTTCCCGTTAGTATGGAAGGGTATACATTAATGAAACATAAAAAACTAGGATATGTCGTTACATATATTGATATTTAAATATAAAATAAAATTTCAATAATAGAACATAAGGCGTGGTAAAATATTTGCATACCCATTTCTAGGTAGGCATTAGCTATCTAGTAGAATTTTTCTATTTTGTTAATTGATTTTATTTAGTTCACATAAATATAAATATAAAAATAATTAAAAACTCAAAAGTTTTCCTAACTTTGAAAATATTGTCTCAGATTTTGAATGATAGTTTAATATATGTTTCATTTTCATTTCATTTATAACAAATCATTAATCGATGGTCAACTTCATAGATTTTGTATCATTTTAACGAAGGGTTGAAAAATTAAAGAAACTGTCTAATCTAGGACTGCACAAAGGTTTTAAGTGGGTGTCAAAAACATCAACAAATAAACCAATATGACAAAAACTAAAGAGCATCAATAAATATGATAATATTAAAATCAAATACAAGATATGGGGAATCTTAATTTTTTTTCCTTGAAACATTAAAATTTTTGTCTACAACATTTGTGAGATTGAACATTGATATAAAATTATTCAAGTTTATCTTGAGTTTAACTGTTAAAAATAACTTAATGTTTTTTTTTTAGTTGAACCTTCTTGTGTCTTCCCTGAAAAATGGCAGGGATATTGGTTTCAATCTGGAGTAAGGCAGTCCATACAGATTCATTTGAACAAGTTCTCGACAAAAGGAAAATGTGTCGCTTCAGATGGAGACAAGTTCTTAATTGTCGAGGAGTGAGTAGATTTTTTTTATTCGAGTACAATAATTAATTATGTTATCGTTAATAGGTAGTTTTTAATAAATAGTAAAAATGTTAATCATTAGTATTTCATATTAAAACATTTACATAAAATTTTCTCTTTGACCAATTATTTTAAAAAGCCTGTTGACTAAATTTGATTTTACAAAGTGATAGAAACGCAGTTTTCATCTATACCTAATCCGTAGAGAGTGATATAGATTTAAGTTATTTTTTGTTTATTTATATTTAAGTTGTTTTTGTTTAAGTATTTGAAAATTTCAGAAAAAAAAATATCTTGGTCTGTGTTTATATGCTGATATTATAGTTTTTTTTTAAAAATATATTTCATTTTAAGTGTTTTCTAAAACATTATTGTGTCATTGCAGGAAAAGTAATTGTCACCGATGTGTCGTCATACATGAAAAACATGATAATGTGCTTCAGTACAAAGAGAGTAAGTATTTAAGTTTTCTTTATTAATAATAAATGTTACAACGTTTATTCTTTGTTTTATACTTGTTATTATAACTCAAACTTTTTAAAATTTTATAATGTAATATTAGGCAGTGAGGTGTAAAGATAGTTGTTAAGGAGTATTTCTTTAAACAATAATAATAATAAATTAAGAGTAGATAATAACTTTATCTTAAATCTTTAATTTATTGGTATTTTATTCAGTAATAAAAAAATTATAATAAAACCTAATTCAATGCTATTCATACCATCTAAATATTACTTAGTTAATGAAGAATTATTTATCTGTTTTCACCTTTCCACAACAATAAAGTCGTAGAAAAAATACAAAAATAATGTTAATTTAAAAAAAAAATAGTTATCTATCTACTAAATTAATGTTCTCGGTATTTCTTTTTAATCTAGCTAAAATGTACAAGACAATCCATCAGAAAAGTCCTTTCTATCACTTGGAAGTTAGTTCTCTCATTTGTCATTATATTTAGGACTGTTTTTATTCTTACAAGACCCCCTATAGAGGACAGTAGCATAGATGACAAACTCATTTCATTCTCTGCTAATGAAGTAAGGTAGTGTTTGCTGAAGTAACGAACTCTCTGATTGAGTTTCATTAGTCCTTGTTGCCTGAAACAATGCCTCAGCACTCCTTTGGAATACTAATACCTGACTCTCTCTGTCTCTCATTTCCTCTCCTTACCTTTCTCTGTTTCAAAACTACCTTTATTTGTTACTTTCATTTGGAAAATAAGTCCAGCTCAGGAGCTTCTACTGTTATTTTTAGTATTATGTTGATTAGATTAGATTTTAAATCATAAGTCTGTTTTTTTTTCATTTTTTACTAAAAAAATTAATATCATTCATCTGCCTCTCTATAATAAAGAGCCTAAACTAAAAATTCTAGAACTGTTGTTTTTTATAATCAAAGCCTTCTTAATGTTTTTATAATATGTAATTAAATATTAAGGATTTGATTACATATTAGTGATAAGAACTCTTTGACTAATTTACAAAAAATAGATTATATGATTATTTGTATTTTTAAGAGTTTCATATTTTAAATTTGGTTAAAAAAGTCACTATAAGCAAATCAGCGTTTATAGTAGAAGAAGAAGATGGAATTATTTAAATACTGGAATATGAACAATATAATATTTAGTAGTTTTGTTAAATCAAGCCTATTTAACAAAAGATTTTCAGATTTATAGACAGCTTTTATTTTAAATTACCTAATCCTTTGAAAAACTTGATTAAAGTAAAATAAGTTACAAAAAAATGTGGAATTAAATGAAAGTAAGCAAATAAGGGTTGTTTTTTTTTTATTTCTAGTTTAAGTTTGAATTAACAAAATTTTGTAATTATAAATATTTAATGTTCCAGCCTATTGCACTCGGATGGAATCCCTCTATTCCCTGTGCTCCCACATCACTGGTGATGCTCTTCTCTACTCAATGTTTAGGGTAAATGCGGTCCCTCTCAACTGTCCATTCTCTGGATATCACACCTTCTCTTATGACCGAGGTAAGTATTATTATTAACTGGTTCCCTACTTAAAAACATTCATTTAAAATATTACTTTACCAACTTTAGGAATGTCGGGAATTCTACTTGAATTTTTAGCATCTGCAATAAATTTTGGATATGCTTGAAAATAGCGATTAATTAGGAAATTTTAGTTTAACAATATCATTTTTCCATTAGTATTTATTTATTTCCACCCTCCCATGCCACAATGGCAATACGGGTGTTTGCAATAGTGTGTTTTAGGCATGAATACTTAATAACACACTACTACTAGATATGCACATATATAGTTCTTCTGTTTTATCTTCTTCCTTCTTCTTTCGGCCTAGCTTTCAGAATCTGGAGGTCTTCCTGGCGCTTGTCCTCTTCTTCTGCGAGCACCAATATGGAAGTGAGCGGGCCCCACTGCAGTCTTCCATCCATTTATGAAATCCTTAAACCGCGGGAAATTTTCCTCACTGACTAACTGAGGAAACTCATTTTCAGTGAGGACATAGATTCCCGCGGCTCTTGTCGTTGTCGCTCTTAACGTTTCAAACGCGGTGCAGGTCGTGACCACGTGCTCTACAGTTTCCGGAACACTACAGATTGGGCATAGAGAATCTACATCAATGCCCAGACCGTGAAGTTTAGCTCGAAATCCTCCATGCCCCGTGAGGAACTGGGAAATCCAGTAGTCCGGGAGGACCCACTTTGCCTGAAGCCTCGACTGTACTGTGGGAAAGTACTTCCTCAATGTACTTCCTTTAGGGGTTGTTACCCACCGCCGGTTCCATGCTTCAATTGTATCCTCCCGGAGTATCTTCTTCCACCTATTAGGTGCTGCCATAATCCTCACCTGTAGATTGTCCGAAAGTACTGTAGAGCCTTCTATCTTGTATGAATATTTCTTCACTTCTTCTAGTAGGAGGAGGTCAAGAGGCACCATTAGTAATTAATAAAAGTTGTATAAAGTATTGGGTAAAGATTTTTTTTTTGATTTTTTTTTTTTTAATGCTAGTGTTAATCACCCTCCTGCCACCGGATCCGAATTCATAATTATTTTATCATTTAAACTTTGATTTATCAGATTGTTGGACAACACATAAAGGGTTGATGTTGTTGTACCACACACTTTCTTTAATTTTACTAAAGATAGACAAATCCTCCTTCCACTAACTTTGACCCATTAGTACCCCACTCTCTGAGAATGGAATGGCCGAGCACGTTTGGGTGTGGGTTCCAGAATGCCTGGTTCTGAACATTGTGGGTTTGATTCCCACCTCGGTTGATTACTTTTCATTTCTCGGCAACCATGGGAAATGGATCGTAGCATTCCCACTCTGGTTAGTACATGGTGAAAACCTCAAGATAGTCATGAGGGATTGGCAAAAAGGACCATGAGGGCCACTTGCTGGACTAGATCTCCCCTCCAGTACCAGTACCAGTACCACCCTCTCATACTTCTGTGCTTTATGTAACTAGTTTTTTTTAGTTGTTTTTTTTTGGGGGTGGGAGAGGGTCATATTGTGCTCTTAAGGTAAGAAGTTAGATATCAATTTTTCATGATAAAACATCCTTTAAATTAGTCAAATTCATTCTCAAATATAAATTGCTCAATTTATCAGAAGTTAAGCAAGTAGAAAATTTTATGATTCTGATTTGTTTTCAATTTAATTCAATAAATTGACTTAATGTGTCTTGAATTTTACAATTTACAACCTTAATATCCTTGAATTATGCTTAAAATCTTAATGCTATAGTTGGACACTGTGCATGTGATTGGTGAAAATATTTAATATTAAAATTTTGTTTACTTATTCTTATGAACTGTTCATGAATTCTAACATACATAAATTTTGTTTCCTAGGTCATGGGGAATGTACCACTCCTGCTTCTACAATGGAATCTTGTACCCAAGAAAGCAGGCTGATTCTTAGGTATCAAGCCTGCCCTGATGTGTATGGCAGTGAAAGTGCAGGTGTGTCACCAATTTGTTTACATATTAAATTTCTATTTGCTAGTATAAAATATATATTTCATTTTAATGTGATAAATCATTGAATTATATTTATTTCAAAGCTATTTTGTTTCTATGTTAATTAATATAATTATTTTTTCCATGAATTTCAGTTGAGGAACTGCAGTGTTTGGCCACTTGGAAGGAGGGGTCCTCTCGTTACCTGGTGGGCAAGATGGAACATCTACATGTCTCATCGAATGAAGACAGGTATCGGTGCTTTGTGTACGAGAAAGCAGGAGGTGGCATCGGAAGTGGGTCTGATTCTGAAGTGGTCTATCGTGTTGCCCAAAGTGGCGACGCCACCTGCAATGGACTTTTCTCCCCCATGGAGGGCAGCAGAACCATGACTCTTCGTAGAGGTAATGGTTCAATTTTTAAATATTAATTAACTTGAATTTCATTTTATTATTGCTATCATTTGTTCTAATTCAATCTGGATCTACAGCAAATCCCCCTCGATGTAAGTTCCCAGCTTGGATGACTACAACTGCCCACTGGCATTCTCTCGATTACAAATCAACATACAGCCTTCACCATCGAAATACATCCTTGAAGGTTTCTCAATCAGGAGATAGTGTTTTGGGTGATGATTCCAGGCTCCATTGCTCAGAAGTTAAAGCTGCTTCCTCGGAATCAGCAACTATTATTGTACACTTCACTACAGGATGGTGAGTTTTCAAATGAGCACTACATGTTACCTAATTATAGTGGTAATTGGTCATATTATCCAAATTATATATCTAAATTAAAATATAATTAACTCTAAATTAAAGGTAATTAGTAAAAGGTACACTAAGTGCTTAGTAATATTGATCTAATCAGAGTAATAAAATTTTTTAGACTTTGTTGAATCATTTAAATTTTAAACTTAAAATCTTAATATTTTATTGGCTAAGATCATAATTGCAGTGATATTATTCTTATCTGAAGTAATGTTTTAAAACTAGAAACAAACTGTAACATCCATCCCCAGTTGATATTAATACATCAAATTGTGCTCAATTTATTTCATGTGTTAAGCAGACCTGATTATTCTACCATCAAAAACATATTTGTGTATTTTTTTGTAATTACATTATTTTTTGTTATTAAATTTTAACTATTATAAATGTAACTCATGAATATAGGATTAGATGAGGATGCATATTGACCATTTCAATTAGTAAAGTAGTGCATATGCCTTTATATATCTTTGGTATATTACAAAAAGTCATTAAAGAACATTTCATAAAATTAAATTACTAAGCACTTTGATGAATTCTTTCACTGTGAAATCAGAAAATTATGCACTTAGTATATCTAGTTTTGATACATAACAAGGTTTGAATCAATGTATAAATTTTCTATGTTTTTGCACTGATAAACAAGCTCAGAAATCTTTATAACATCCTTGAATTCTTACAATTTAGCTCCATTAAAAATGTACTTGGTGACTTTTTGCAACAAACCAATGATATTATAAAAAGGATTATTAATTCCCTGTTATAGTTATTATGATTACTTGATCAAACCTACTACTGTGAGAAGAAATTTGTTTTTATCTTTCAGTTTAGTATTAAATATTACACCTAAATAACCTATTGATATTTTGTTTAAAGAAAATCTGTTCATGTTTACAGCCAGAGTGGTTTCATGTGCATGGTATTCTATCGAAGAGATCAGCATGTCATTGAACTTCAGTCTGGTATGTTTAAGTTTAATCTCTTAATTAAATGTTTCAGTGTTCATTTTGATTAATTAGAGAGGGGTGTATTGATTGATTCATCTTTTGATTTGTTTTGTTTCATTTGTTCTCAGGAATGAAAACAAGAAGGCCAGAAGAAGCATGTACTCAAAGTAATTTTGATAGAACGAAAGCTCCATTTGTTACTTTAGTCAGTAAGTATTATAGAACTGTTTTTATGTCTTAAATCACCATAGGCTGTACTTTAGAAATAAAATATTATTAAAATATATTTATGTATTCTATTTGGCTTATTTTGGCTAGCACTAAATAAGGGTGGTCTGAGAGATTTCTAATTCAATATTCACAGTTTGTTGTCAAATCCTTTACTGGTCATTCACAGTTCATCATTATTTAAAAGATTGCTTAAAGCATTTTTGATTATTTAATAGTTGACTGTTGCATTATAAAGGAAGGAGATGGTCCGGGGTTGCGGTCATAAAAAGGCTAACTAGTGGTAAAACTATTTTATTGAAAGCCAACGTTTCGACCCGACTTTGCAGGTCTTCATCAGGGAGGTGTGTTCCTCAAGGAGTTTCACTTAGAACTGAACTCCTGAGTTTCACTTAGGACTGAACTCCTGAGTTTCACTTAGGAGTTCTAAGTGAAACTCCTTGAGGAACACACCTCCCTGATGAAGACCTGCAAAGTCGGGTCGAAACGTTGGCTTTCAATAAAATAGTTTTACCACTATTTAGCCTTTTTATGACCACAACCCCGGACCATCTCCTTCCTTTAAACCATTTTTGTTTTTTAAATCCTGAAATGAAATAAAACTTAATGACAACTGCACTAATATTTACAATATATACGACACACATACATATATACAAGAGAAACAACTGAGTATGATGTGGTGCTAGACAACATGGGATAGTTGGTACTATTTACTGGTGGTTTGAAGGCTGAAATAAATGTGCCTTTAATATGTTGGGACTAAGTGTGGCAAACATAGCTAATATTTTAAATACTAGACTTAAAATTTATTTGGAACTGATTCTCATTTATTACCAATGCGGTTTCAGGCCTAACAGGGCTACTACTAATCAAATCTTTGTCTTGCGTCAAGTGCTCGAAAAATGTCATGAGCTTAATATGGATGTCCACATGCTATTTATTGATTTTAAGCAGAATGACATTGTGATTCTGGCAAGAAGTGAGAAGGCATTAATAAAGGAAATTCTGTGCAAATATTGTGCAGGAAAGTAAAATTGTGGGTCTTGAGATAAACTAATCTAAAACCAAATACATGGTAGCATTAAGCTCTGAGGCAAGAAGAAGAAAGCAATATTTTAGATATGACGGCTATACATTCGAAGCTGTCGATCACTTCACGTACCTTGGCACTGAAATAAACAGTGTGGTTAGGGTGAGCGACGCGATTATGAGAAGAATAATGTGTACCAACAAAGCTTATTACGGTCTCTCTAGGTTGATTAAATCTGCCCTACTATCAAGATACACAAAGCTCAAATTATGTAAGACCCCTATCAGGCCCGTTGTGTGCTATGGTGCAGAGACGTGGACGCTTGAAGTAGGCAACCAGCAAGCTCTTAGAATATTCAAAAATAAAATTATGAGACATATTTTCGGTCCAATAAATGAACAATACACATGGCGCATTAGGTGTAACCAGTCAGAAATCGAATGACCTAATACAGCATGAAGATATTTTGAGGTTTATTAAATCTAAAAGAATTAGTTGGCTGGGTCATACTGAGCGAATGCCAGATGAAAGAATGCTCAAAAAAGTTCTGTGCGAAACGTTCCCAGTAAAAAGAAAGAGGGGACACCCACATAAATGCTAGATTAAGGACATAGAAGGGGACCTTGCTAAAATTGGAATGACCAACTGGAACAGACGACCCATGGACAGAGAAGGATGGCGAAACATTGTTGGAGAGGCCAAAGTTCTCCTTGGACTATAGAGCCGCAGAAGAAGAAGTGTGGCAAAAATCGACCTCCTAACTTCCAGTTTTAATATAGACTATTAAGTCTTCGTATTAATTTTCAGACAGACCTAGATGATATATTTTTCTACAGTTCAATAAATAATAAACTTTTTTCAATTATTATTTTGTCCATTTCTCTTAAGGAAGAAGTCCTCAACATGTGACTAAACACTCCATCTTGCCTGTGTCTCAAACATTTTGTCTCAAATATACTCATGAGCACAAATGTTATTATTGCCTGACATAACCATCTGCAATTGCCAAGGCTGCCAATAACTTTTTTTTTTTTTTTTCGGTCCTCCCCTTCCTCTCCATTAAGGCTATACGGGGTTTTCCCGGGCCAGGGAGTGTGGACGGGGATTTAAAAGACTCCCTTGGCACCGGGACGTGAACTTGTGTCTATTTTTATATCATTTGATTGATATATCAGGTTGCCGGGCAACGGCAGTGCTGTGCACATAGCTTAGCACATTTGACCATCCCGCCCACTTGGCAGCCAATAACTGCTTTTTTGGAATGTTTTTCAATGAATTTTTAATTAAATCAAACCTATTCATTCAGTGGTTCCACCACATAATAAATTTCAACCTGTCTAGACTAGATTCGAACTGGTGCCTTTAGACTTATCACTTTAACATTTAACATTTATATTTCTTATAAAGGAATATTAGATATTGTATAATTTTTATATTCTAAAGTAACTGTTTCTTTTTAATATTCAAAAACTGAAAAAAAAATTTAAAACAACTAAAACCATTTGCTACGCACCACTTGACTTGACTAGCAACCTATAAAAGAGCCCTAATGTACAAATGTCCTACCTTAGGGTTATCAACAGTCTGAAATATTTTAACATTTAGTAATTGATTGTCTTTATTACTTGGGTCATATGCCAACTTTGGCACATATCTATATAGAATTATATTTTACAGCAAGCAACCCTGAACAGCACAAGTGCCCTCAAGTGGGACGCTTCTCAGTGACTGGAATGATAAGGAGAGATAGAGAGAAGAGAAACAGTGATGATGAAGTTGGGACAGATCTACGAGGTGAAGGGTGTTCCCTAGAATTCCGTTCTGTTGCAGTTGGCTGTGGGGAAGATGAGACAATGGAGTTTCGCTCACATTGTTCTTCTCCAGCAACTAACGTTATATCAGGTAAAATATATCAATAACTTTAAAATTTATAAATAACTTATAAAGATTTAAAAAGTAATAATACAATTAATTGTTGTTCATTATTTTCAATAATGACCAAACAATTCAAAGTTAATCTTTCCTCAAAATTTGAGGTTTTACGTTTCACGATATGTAGAAATCGAAAATCAAACATAAATAATTTTAAATACTTGATGGTTGACCGTGGTGGTATATTATTAAGCAAGGAGATGGTCTGGGATGGCGGTCATAAAATGACTAAAATTGTGAGAAAACTATTTTATTTAAAGTCAATGTTTCGACCTGACTTTGCAGGTTTTCTTCAGGGCTAGAACAAACAAGATACAAAAGGATATAGAAAATTGTGGAAGTTACATTATATTTAGTTAAAGCTTATGAGTAATGTGAATAAACATATTAAAATTATAAGCAGTGTGAATAGAAAGTATATAGAAATATTAAGAACAATAAGCTATATAAATAGTAAACTAAATAACAAGATCCTAATCTGAAGTAAATAAATGGTACCAATTGTTGTAGATAGGGAAAAATTGAATTTAACAAGAAGGATGGATAATATACGCAATTATGAATATAATCCTACAGATCTCAAGGTATTCAAGTAAAAGAAAAAATAATATGAATTAATGAACATAAAGGGAGTGTGAAGAAAACGAAAAAAAAAAAAAAAAAAAAATTAAAATAGAGACTTACGGGTGTATGCCGCGGTATTTTTTTTTTTTTTTTGTTCATTCGTTTTCTTCACACTCCCTTTATGTCCATTATTTCATATTATTTTTCATTTTTCCTTCCTATCTACAGTAGTCTACAACAATTGTTACCATTTATTTACTTCAGTTTAGGATCTTGTTACTCAATTTAGAGTTTATATACTTTATTGTTTTTAATATTTCTATGTACTTTCTATTCACACTGTAAATAATTTTAATATGTTTATTCACATAGTTTATAAGTTTTATCTAAATATTATGTAACTTCCACTATTTTCTATATTCTTTTGTATCTCGTTCGTTGTAGTGCTGAAGATGACCTGCAAAGTTGTGTCGAAAGTTGGCTTTAAATAAAATAGTTTTCTCACAATTTTAGTCTTTTTATGATCGCCACTCTGGACCATCTCCTTACTTAAAAATGATTTTGTCTGTCTACAGGCCTACAGGTCTTTTCTCCAAGGCTATAGGACCAAATGTTTTGAGATTTGGAATTCAAAGTCAGAATTTTAGTCAGAGTCCAACGATGATCCCCCTACATCGACATTACCATCTACCCTTTCTTTTCAAGATAAAAAAACCTGTGGTAGTATAGACTGTATTGCGTATATGAATGTACTGATTTTAATGAAACTTGGTTAAAGTATTCTTCTCGAAACCGTTTAAATTTGTCTAAATAATACACTTCATTCAAAAATACTTTCCTTTCAAGATGGCCACTGAAATATTTGTGTTGTATAGAACGTAGTGTTGTATCCTTTGTTTTGGTTTTTGGAAAGTGGTACACAGCTGGTCTATTTTTCTTAAAAAATTACTAATGGTGAAAAAAAAATTTAAAGTTAGTCTATGGGTGGTCCAATGCCTTTGTATTTCTTCTTCATCTATGTCAGGAGTCTCTAAACATTTTGGCTTGCACAATGAGACCTCCAATGAGAGAAGATAGCATAAAACTTGTTCTGTAAGAGACATTTGTGAAATTAGGTTTCCAAGAAAAACAACTCTTGCAATAAATGTTGTAGTAACCTCGTGTTTGAGTTTCATACTTCATATTTTTTAAATAGTTTTTAAGATTTTATCATGTAATGAAAGAAACTTTTGTAGGCCTTAGTTTGGAGACCTCTGATATATGTGATCATTTACAATTAAACACGAGTACTTTAATCATGAGGTATAAAATGTGAACTTTCCCACTACCTACTGTTTTAGTGGTTTTAAAAAGGTCTTCTCTTTTTTAGGCTTCATTATTTGTTCTATGCTCTTCAATCTTTTGCAATCTCGCATGTAAATTATCTTTTTTATTTTGTACCTGAACCTTTTTCACCTTACATCTGGTAATATAGCATTGTAATGTTCTTTTCTGTTCTGCGTGGTGTCCTTATTCAGATATTTAATTCTTTATTTATCAAATACTTTGTCCGCCTCATAAAATGAAATGAATTATTAGTCACATTAAAATTATTTGTTTCTTGATACTTTTAACCATGTTAAAACTAAACACATCATGTTTAACTTAGGCCAAATAATTATTTCCACTAGGGGAAATCCGCTGTCATTATCCCTAAATGAGTGGACCATTCATCGGTACTTTGGAAATGGTTACTAAACTTTTCTGATAAATTTACTAACAGTTTCTTATTGATAAATTAGTTAATCTTGAAAGAGAGAATATCATTACCATTCTATTTTGATTAAGCTTCGTATACACATTTCTAGTTGGTCTGCTAACAACTTCTTAGATGCAAATGAGCAAGGAGGCAGGGTGACCAAGGGGACTAACACATGTGCAAAACACTCGTTGCCCAACCGCCTGATTAACCGAAATTTAGATAATAATGTAATTACACATTCGTGTCCAGGTGCTGGAGTAGCTTTTAACTCTTGCATTCATTCCCCACCCTCTCCCCTGGACCAGGAAAAAAACGCTATAGCCGAAAATATGAAGAAGGGAAGGTCAAAAAATAAAAGATGTAAATGAGCTTTCTAAGGATCAGAGGGAATGAGCTTGTTGATGATACTTTGTACATATTCTTTTTATTTAAAAAAGAAAAGAAAAAAGAAGGTACTAAATTAAATCCATTCCTTTCTGGTTTGTGATAATAGCCTCATTGTATTATGTAAATATAATTTTTGTTTTAGAAAATCCATTTTCTTTTTTTGTAGGTTATATATGTATGTAACAATTTAAACTATACAGGTGATCTGTAGCTTTTATTGATGATGCCTTCTTTACAGTTTATAATTGCCATGCTGGATGGTCCGAGAATGGAACCCACTACCTGATTACAACACCTAATTCACGTTCCTCGGCTGGGGCTAAGCGTTACTGCTTCATATACACCCCTGGAATTGGAGGAACTTATCATTTCAGCACTAGCCCTGTAACCTGCAGCCGTGCAGTGCGCCCAGGAATCACTGGCGCCCTTGCCTTTAATATCACTCACCAAGGTATTATTATTCAACTTTTGCATTCTATAATCAAGACCATTTATTTGTTTAATTTTCTATGCTACAGTTAAACTTAATTATTTATATTTGAGAGTAACTTCATATTTTAGATAGCATTAAACTTTTATTTTGTATTTTATAACAATTTTCCGTTTCATATGATTTTATTTATATATATTTTTTTAATTTGGGTGATTGTTGACAGATAAAAGAATTAATAAAACATTTTAATCTCTGATCAGTTGCGAGAGAGTTATTTTTATTTAATTAATGAGCATTTCAGCTATAATTAGATCATAATTTAAACCTCAATAGAAATAGGGACAACAATGAAAAAAAAAAAAAAAACAATGAATTATAGATGAATATAAATAATACTCACATTATTATTTATATTCATTGAGACCTTACCATCTATGAGCAAAAGCTTTGCTTGCTCTTAAGAATTACATTTTTTTTTCTCATTATAATCACTGTTATTGCATTAACTTGTAGTCACTTTCTCTGTATTTATTATTTATTGTTATTACCATGTTCTTAATGGGTTTAGTTCTTGCAACCTTTGCTGATTTATATCATTACAATTGTTCTTGCTTTATGTCAATAATTTTTAACCATCTATATTTTTAAAAAATCATTATTTATATGCAATGTACAGGAATTAAATAAATACAATACAATTTAGAGCATATTACGATATAAAATAGAAAATTTACAAAGATGTAGTTTTAGACTTGATCTGAGTTAAGTCAGAAAATCTTAGTTCTAATATTTCTTATAAACAATTTTTGTTCTTTTTTTTTTTTTTAGGATTGTGTGCTGAAGTTACAAACAGAGCTGTTCTACATGTTTCTTCATTCTACCTCATAGTGATTCTATCATTGTTTGTATCCAAATTGATTCTTTACAGATGATTTTAACACCCATGTAAAATAGGCATTTAAAATTTTAATAGTTAGGCAAATTTTTGTGGAAGGACATCGGTTAATGTCCCAACACTACCTTTTTCTATGTACATAGCTATTAATGAAAATGAAAAAAAATAAAAAAAAGATATATCTATAAATAAGTAACTACTAAGCATAAATGTGTAAATTTAATTTTTAAATATAAATTATAAATAATTGTTTTTTGGAAAGAAAAAGTTGGAGGTAATACTTTTCTCCGATATATTTCTTTCTCTTGCACCTTCAATATTAAATTTTATTTTTGAATTATATAGTAATGTACTGAAAATATATATCTGAATAGATTAAGATCAGATCATACCTGTACTAATTTTATAATCACAGCAATAAATAATTGAGGCAATGAACGAAATCTTGTGATAGCCTGGATCTTTGAGATTCATTGAGAGTGAGAGTTTTATGTAGTTTGTGTAAGAGAAGTGATTAACAATCATGCACTGCAAATATAACAATTGCACTCATTGTTCATTAAAGACCAATTAGAAAATGGAATAATTCTTTTCTTTAATTTTCGTTTATTACTTTTTAATTTATTTAGAAATTAATTAATCTTTCATTAGAAAATTTTTCTTGTTAATAATATTGTCCCAGTTGGTGCAATAACATGGAAATTATTATGGAAGTGATAAACCACATGCATTTTGTTAGTGAAAATTATGACATTGCATAAATGGTATAATAGAAAAAACTTTTCATTAGTATTATTATTCATAGTAATAATATAAAGGTTGAGCTGTACGCAGCTATGCACTGTGATATTGGATATTGTTACATTTCTGGCTGACTTACAGCTAAATATGCATTACTATTAAGCAATACTATCAATATCAAGAAATATGGTTACAGAAAGAAGTCAAATTTTGATCAGTGGTCTTAAAATTAACAGCTCATTTAAAAATAATGAAATTAAATTTTTTGTTAAAAATCACTCCAAAATTTGATTGAAAAAAAAGTTATGTGATAGCTGATTTAGTTTAATTGACTACTTTAATGAATTTTTAAAAATTTCTTTTGATGGAAGATTGTTGAAGGTTCCTGTTACTGAAATTCACAATATTAAATTACTGAAATTTAGTTAAATTGTACTGATCTTAATTAAGGGTTTGGGTTAAAAGAAGATTGTTATTCGGAAAAAAAAACTGTTACTGTTTTGATTAATGACCTTCTTAATATGTTGTGTATTTTTTAGTAAATTTTAAATAAGGATAAGATAATCAAACAGAGCCCACATAATTTATAGTTGATCTGTGATAGAAGGTATAATTTATCGGGACTGTTGTTTGGGTTAAAAAGATAATATTAGAAAGCTATCAGTTTATGTTTGTTTCATTTTTTGTGTATGGTTTAAAATATAATAATAAATGAATTATAGTAAATTTAAGGTTATGATATTTTAATTTAAGAAGTGCTTCCTTGATTTGCGAATGTCATTGCACCAAATAGGTTGTAATGGAATTATAGACTTCCTCTTGACTGACAGAGTAGGGCTATATTGTATAATATACATGATATAATTCCATCAATTTACTTTTACAGTTATTCCTGATTAATTGTGGGCATTAAATAAAAATTAAGTCATGTTAGGAAAAAATTAAGTCATGTTACTTTGGTAAAAATCCATATTTTTATCAGTTTTGGTCAATCTCTTAAGCTCACGCTATTAAAAAATGGCAAACTTTACTTAACTTGGATGCTGTGTAATATTTTAAATTCATTATTCTGTCATATTTAGCCCCAAGTTAACCATCAGTCCAACATGTAACATATAGATAATCAAGTATAGCTTTGAAAGAGATCTAACAACTTTTAATCATCTTTAATTCAATATAGTAGACACATTTAAGCAACCTGAGGTTGAGTAAAAGAAGTCATTATAATAATCCCTAATTGTTTAACTTAAAGACTAATTGAAATGCTTTTCACGTTTCTCGGGTGAATGATTTTAAACACTAGTTCTTGTTGAAGAGTAAAGTTGACATTTATTCATGAAAAATTTAGGTTCTATTTATTCCATTTACTTCTGACCTTTTAACCGTAATAAAATGGTAGTTGGGTATAAAGAAATTGAAAGGTAATCGCCACGTCAGTTAAAAGGGAGGCTATTATATTATCTGATATTGTAAAATAAATAATTTGAAAAGGGGTAGGACATTCGAGTTTTATTGATATGAAATTTCTCTTTTTGACTGAAGATGGTTCTGATATGAATGGAAAAATATTATAGTTTTAATGTATTTATTTCTCTAGGTAATTGTAAATAATGTCTAGCAAAGTGATTAACTTTTTGTTAAACATTAAAATTTTATAATTTGCTCATTAGGAAATTTTTTTAAAATTGTAAAGTTGTTACAAAATAAAAAAAATTAAAACCCCAAAATGAAGCCTTTAAATAAAATCTACAAATCAACGCAATTCTACCTCTTACACTTTTTATGGTTATATATGTATAGTACAAAATAATCAAAGACCGCCGCCCGGTTTTAGTTAAATTAAAAAAAAAAATTACATAAGTATCTTGAGTCAAATAAAAGACTGACTTTTTGTCAAAAAGTCTTAACTCAAACCGTAGTTAATGTTGAATTACAAATGTTTATTTTTTATAAAATCTTATTTTTTCCCCTAATAACCTTACTCTAAGGTGAGTTGGTCATTAGGTCACAATTTAGAAAAATTTTCAAGGAATAATGATGTTAGTTAAATTAATTAACTTTAATAAATGAAGGACAGTGATAATCATCACAAACAAATATTTAGCTCTAGGTGGTGTACACTAAGCAATCATCGGCTAAATATTTTGTTAATTATTTAAATTTTTAAATTAATTTCAATTATCTTTTTCATAGTTATCCAATTACATCAGATTGTAATGGTTTTATTTACTTGGATGATAAGAAACTATTGATTTTTTATAATTGCATAATAAGCAGCCTGCATTTTATTTTTTTTTAGAAAGTTCCACGATAGCCTAAATTAGATGTTTGCTTTTATAATTTTTTTTTTTTTGATTAATTGCTCTGTTTGTTCAATCATATGTCTTAGGTTTTAGTCCCCCATACAATAGACCCGACATGAGAACTTTATGAAATGAATGTTTTTAAATATTAAAAAAAAAAAAAATGGCTCTAGATTGAAAGTACAAGATTTTTGTGTGCCTTGTTGGTCCTGGAGAGTAGTAAAATAATCATTTTAAGAACTTTAGTTAATAAGGTAAAGCATCTATTGATGCCATTTTAAAACTTCGGAAATTAAAAAAAATAAATAAAGAAAAAAGAAAAAAATATGTAGAACTAAGTTTAATCTTCATATTAGTAAGTGGAAAAGACTTAATTTTAAATTGATCAAATATACATGATGAATACATAGATGTCCTGTTCATTTTACAGGTTTGCACAAATTTTTTGAACAAGGCAGTGTTATTGATAACACAGGCTTGTATTTACTACTTTTTTCAACAATTTTCATTTATTTAAATTGGAAATACATCTATTTAATCATGGTTTTCACCCTTAATTTGAAGCTAAATTAATCATTTACTTTTGTATTATCCGTCTACATTGATAATAATCTGACAAATTTAATGAAAAATAAAGATGATTAGATAATAAAAAGTGTAACATATTTTCAATGCCTGTGTTACAAATAGTACTGTCCTAGCTGGTTGCACATGAGTGTGTGTTGAGTATTTTGCTTTTTGAACATCTATTACAAACTGTAATGAGATGTTTTTCATTTGCTAAGAACTATTTTTTTTTAATTTTAAGAATTAAAGAAGTTATGTAGTGAGCGAAAGCCCAGTTTTATGTTAAGAGAATTGTAGAGTAGGTATTTTATTGGATATATGAACATTGTGATATTTATTTTAACCCTTTCATAATTTGTTTACATTTAATTTTGGAATCATTAATGAATATTTTCAAGTAATTATGACAAACTATGTATATAAAAGCCACCAAAACATAGAACTCTGACTACAAACGAACAAAAATGTATTCAGTTTTATCACATCCCATTAATTTGAATGGTGGTGGTTTAGACAATTGTTAGAAATGAAATTAATTTAGAATGATTAAATTTGATGCAAAAATTAATAATTTTATACTTATATGAATTTAAAGATTGTTTTATGACTTTAAAACCATCAAAACTTAATTGTTTTTTATAATGATAATGTACTCTCCAATCCTGTATATTGTTAAAATGTTAAATTATTCAAAGATGTATTTTTACTATTTTGGAATGGCTCAAATTTAAGGTTGCTTTTCTTAAACAGAAAGGTATTCTAAGTGTTTTTCTAATGGACTGGGTATTAAAAAAATAAACTAAAACTGGACTTGCGCTCATTTATTTAAAAAAAAAAAATTAAGTTTGTACAAAAAATTATAGAAATCTAATTTAAATATAACAGGCCTATCTTGTTAAATCTTGTGACTTCATAACAGGAATATTTCTCTTCTAGAATCTATTGATGGTTTAATTCTATTAATTATGCTAAATAATAAATGCAAGTTGATTTTATAGCTACTTCTGTCTGTGTTTAAATAATTGATTTATTTACAAGTTGGTAATTGTTTTTTTAATATTTGGGATACTGTGTACAAATTATGTTCATCTTGTTCTAGTTATTTGTAACAGAAAAAATAATTGAAAAAATAAATAATTGTTGTAATTTTTCTATTTATTTTCCCATACCCTGAAATTGTGTTTTCATTTTATATTTATAGATAAAGTACCATTATTGCAAATTAGTGAACTAGTAAAATTAGATAATTATAAATGCAGTAAATTACTCAAGCTATTCATATTTTAGTATTTTCAGTTTAAGTTATAGGAAAAACATTATGCTTCAAATGAGCATCATTCAATTATATGTGAGACTTGAAATATCATTAATCCTTCACGATAATCTGTATTTTTAAGATTATTTTTGGATTTACTAGTTGAGTGAATCATCTGTTTTCCACTTCAATGTTTATCTTTAAAAAGAAAACTGGCAAACATAAGGCTTTAAAGTAAATATATATTGTTTTCTTTTTCATTTTCAATCCATTTTAAGTAAAGAACATTTTTCTTCTGAATATATCTTTTGTATTCATTTTCAGATCGGATTTGGTTTTTTTTTTCATAAACTAACTAAATCTTAAGTTCCAACACTATTATTTCTGCAGTTATGTTTTTCTCCATTCATTCAAGATTTTTAGGTTTCAGTTGCCTTAATTTTCAACTTAAAATTAAAAAAAAAATTTAGAAATAAATTCTTAAAAGATATTCTAATTAATTTTATTATTACAACAGGGTATATGCTGATGATTTTTGAATGATAAAGATACTACGTGTTATCTGAAGATACAGATACTACTACTAATTATCTGTGGCACTAGAAATCAGTATGATCCTTGGCCTTCTCAATTAGCCTTTGCCAGATCAATTCTTATGGAGTCTTGCTAGGTGCAGGTGTCCAGTAGGTTCTTGAGTGTCCTTCACTATTACGCCCTTTTACCTGTATGGTCTCCCTTTTCCTCTGGTTCCATACAGATATAATGAAAAATATTATTTCCATTCAAATCATCAATATAATATATTAGCCTCGATATAAATGACAGAAATTTGAAGGATGTGAGTTTGTCCCAAATGCTCTCTAAATTATCAAATTTGGCAGTGATATTCATCAGGAAGCGCCAATGTTTTTGGCTATGCTAATTATAAGTATTAGAATGTAATTTGTGCCTTTAAATCTATTACATTGGTGAACCTGACGTGTTAGAAGACAACCAGTAGTGTAGAAGTCTTCAGGTTATAAATTATTTTGCTATTGTGAGTAAATTACTTATCTGACTCCCAAACTGGTTCTCAAACCGCTGTCCTGACAAGTGAGACTGCAAATTCATCTACACCTAATACTTAAATTGTTTCAACAGATCTTGAGGCTTGAATGAGTCAGCTAGAATAATTACTGAAGAACATGGTTCTTAATATTAATGAATTGGCCAACCGTTCATAATAGATCTCAATCTCCTCATCCACACCGAAGATTCTCTTCCAATAAAAAACCTCACTGTTGATACCATTTTGAATTTGGAACATCTGCCAGAAAATGTATTGAACCATGTTTCTTCAAATCTTCAAAAATGTAGTGGTAAAACTAATTCATTCAGAACACACTGTGGATGAGCATTTGGATATTAAATTTGACAGGAAATTCATATTAGATCACAACTCAGAGGCAAAATTTCTTATTGATTCTGGTGCAGATGTTTCAATTGTATCTCCTTCCCACAGATATGTAAATCACCTAAAAAATTGACAATATTTGCTGCAAATGGTACCCTGATCTCTACCTATGGTAAATAACTTATTCACACATTTCTGTCTACACTGCTGTTACTACTAGCATGTGTTGTCGGCTTGTTGCAGTCACTAAGTACATTTTTGATACAGTTTAACTTTCAAATATGTTTTTGTGAATTTCAACTCAATTTACCAATACAAAAATATAGTTACAAGCGCACAATTTTCTGAATTAACACAGCTTTCCTGAAGAATATAAAACAAAGATATGAGTAATAAAATAAATAAATTAGACAACCAAA